AACAGTGATCTTTTGCTTTGCTTTAGCAAGTGTATCAAAAGCTTTGTGTTTTTTGATATTACCCAAAACATTTTGCGTTCCAAGGTGGACAAAGCAAGTATTTGTATTTTAGTACATTCCATGTGCAATAGCAGTATGATTTTTTTTTTTTTTATTTGGCTGTCCCGTAGCTGGGACAGAAAGCTTAATTTATTTTTAATTACCTTCAGGTCTACAGTATTTATAATCCCTGCTTCAAAACCAATTTTTTTAATATGGTGTTTGCTACCTGAGGAGGTTTTTCTGCAGCATTTGATACACAACCGTGCTAGCAACAAGACAAACAACACAAGACAAAACACAGAACACAAAACATAATTTTTATTGTGACAGTAGATTTATGGTATTTTGGGTTGCTTTTTAGCTTGTATCAGCTTTTTTGTGTTTTTGAAAGACAAAAAACAAACAAACATATTTTTACCCCTTTGGGGGTGAGAGATTATTGCTTAAAATATTTCTTTCTTTTTTAAATATTTTTGCTGATTACAAGCAAAACAGATGAATTACCCCCATATTTTTTTCTGTTTGTTTTATAGGCAAGCCAGGTTTTAATGGCTTCTACCTTTATCAGTTAGGTAATTTGCATTAACACAGATGCTTTTTGGCTTGCTTTTGGGATTTAAAGCCATTAGCAGCTCAAAGACTTTGTCTTAAAGGGGACACAATTAACTTTTACCAGAATTTTGATTACTTTTTACTTTTGCTTTTAAAACATACAAAAATTTGAAAAAGAAAATACAACCTATTGTGGCTCCCTTTGGAGCCCTAATAGGATTTTAATTAAGTAGCATGGTATGTTTGCTTTTTTTTTTTTAAATCCCTTTTACAATATACACTGCTCATTTCTTTTACACTGCTTTGCTTATTTCCTTTATACATTTGGGGCAGTTAAGTTTTAATAGAACCTCCTTATATTTTTTTTTAGCAAATTTGACTAAATTGTTTATAGTCAAATGATTTTAATTAGATAGTTTTTTTGCCTGGATTATTTACAGACATTCCTTTAGAAAAGGCCCTCCCCCCCTTTTTTTAGAATGGCTGAAAAGAAAACAAGATTTTTTTTCTATAACATTTATAACACTGTTACGATGTTTAACTGCTTAATTTTCTTCAGCCTTTGCAGAGTTCACTTTTTACTTTTTTTTCTTAAAATTACTTGCTTATTTTCCAAAATGACATGTATGTTCATTAACTTAGGTTTTACCATTCCAAATACTATTTTAGGGGTCTGAATTTTCTATGTTTGCACTTACTTCTTTTCTTACTTTTGCCATTATGCCCTTAGGGCTTCCAACCTGTTTTTAATTTTTTTCATTTGTTGCCTGCTCACTTGTTTGGGCCCGATCCTGTTTTTCTTACTGCACGGTCCCTTTTTATGGACACAGGCTTTGTTTCACTACCAATTTAGCAAGGAGGGTGGGCTCCTTAACTAGCCCCCACCCCCTCCTGGTCCCTTTCCTTAAACAATATTACTTACAAGGGTTACCCCGTGAGGCTTGCCACCTGGACAGAATGCACGGCCAATTGGCGTTTTAACTGTTTAATTTTCTTTTTATGGTGGACACACTGCTGTTGAGGCGTATTCTGGGTACGAATGGTCAAATCTTTGATGAGTCCCTGAAGGACTGGTACTTGCTTAGCCAGTGTTTGCAGGTGGGTGCGTTTCACCTTTTCTGCCTGGAAGTTTTGTTTTAAGGCCTGCAACTTATTCTGGGCATAGGCTTGGGTTGCTGCCTGGTTAGTAATCTGCGTTTTTAGTTGCTCAGTTTTTACTAGCTGTTTACACACCTCTTCCCTTCTTCCTTTTTTTGCCCCAACAACATTTCACACCACATGGCCGCCGCAGTCCTTATTAATTTCACAGCTGGCCCTAGATTTTTACCCTTTTGCTTTTAATACTTGGCATATGGGTCTAACAAATTTTGCCAAGTATGCACGCTTCTTTGGAGCTCTGCCACAGAACCCCAGGGATTGTATCCCACTTTGGTGAGAGCCCTCTCCAACCGGCAGATGTCCTCACCCCCCTTTGAAAGAGGCTACAGGGTTCTGTCCCTTTTTGCTGCCTCCCCTGTGGCATGGGCATCCAGTCCCCCAGCCTTCCAGGACCCCATCATTGATGCCATCACCCACGACTGCGGGACTCTCGAGTCCGCAGCTGTACCCTTCTGTTTCCTGAACATATTATCACAAACCGTTAGTACCGCTTTGAAGGTCTTTTTATTACTTGAGATTTTATGCCGCCCACACTGGCACCGGGGCTTACAATGCTCACCCTCTCTCCCCCCTGGGTAGACGCTAATCCTCCCTCCGTATTACTTGGTCATGCTACGACTGAGGGTCCATACACCAAATCCAAAACCCGTCTCGGGCACAGCGAGAAACCCTAAGTTTTCCTCTTCTGCTCAGTCATGCTATTACTGAGGGTGTATGCACCGAGGATTCCTTTCGTGTGGAGTGAGGGTTTTTAAGCCCTCCTCCTATTGCCTGGCACTTCTACGGCCAGGGGTAGACCCACCTGCACCCTTCCCCTGCTGACCGGGGTGGAGAGAGGAATGCCAAACCTCCCTCCATTTCTCAGTCATACTACGACTGAGGGTGGGACTCACCTTTAATTATAAAATCCTTAACATGTAATACCAACAGTGCTGGACAGAGCAAACATGAAATACCAAGGGCAAAGCAGTTGGTGCACTCCACCCCTCCGCAATTCTCCACCAAAACTGTGACAGATTCTGTTACCAATCTGCCTGAGGCATCAGGTGATCAGGCTGAGGCTGCAGGATCGTTAGGGGAGGAGATGACGGAGCACACCAAGTAACTGAGTTTTAAAGCTTTATTGATAAAATAATAATATAACAGCGGAAAGCGCTGGGGGGTTCCCCATATCACTCAGAGGAAGAAACAAAGCGTTAGTGCCCCAAGCCCTAACCCACTTTCATACTCACACCCGCACTATCTGAGGCTGGCCAAGCCTGGGTGTAATGTAAGAAGAAGAGGGGGAGGGGTGGACAGGAGTTTTTGTTCCGTGCACGGGTCATCCAGGGTCCGCTGTTGATCTCTGACTTGCTTCTGCTCTCGGGAGGGTTTTAAGTCCTGGGTTCTTCTGGGGGCATTTCGTCCAGGGACCTTTGTCCCCCATGCTCTCTGTACCAGTCCAAACCGGCCTTTTGAGGCTTCCTTGGTTTCCCCAAAACACATTGGCTTCAGCGTCGCAAGACTGTTATGTTCCCATTCTCTGACCTTCACATTCTTACTAGTTTTGCACCCCCTTTTCAGGTTTTTTTGGTTCAGTTCTCCTTTCCCACAGGCTTTTGGCTGTTTAGCAGCAGGGAGCTTGTTTGTGTGTGCATTGGCCTTGGTGGCAGTTTCGCCCTTTATCTTCAAGCCTAGCTGAATTGTCGAGTTAACCTGTTCCTTTTTTTCTCCCTCCCTCTTCGGCCTTTTGCAACCTGCAAAGGAATCTTCCACTCCACACTTACACCTTTAACCCTTCGCAAAATGCTTTGCAATGCCCGCAACAGCATTAGCAACATACAATGCTGATCTGCCTACCCAGGAGACCCCCTGAGGGAGCGGGCCATTGAGTTGTGACAGCACCAATATGAAAGTGATGTGTCACACATCACCTCCATATTAGCGCACATAACATTTATTCTGAACATAGACATAAAAAATTAGAGGGAATACTGCCAATAAGGCTCTAAAATATTTTTTTTCTGCAAAATAACTGGAAGCACTAGAAACCTGACGGTGCAATAGAAGAGATTTTATCTGCACTCCTTTAGGATGGCTTGCATAGCTCGCTACCAGCTTTGCCACTCATGAGCAATGCAGCCTTCCCAAACGCATGCTGATAACGCCGTTACATCACACTCCGTCACGCAGTCTCTCGAGCTTTCTGTTTGAAAGCCACATCTTATTATATAGATAACATTGTAAGCATGCCCAGTACTTCACAGTAGTCTATGCTAAACAAAGAACAGAGGCCCAGATTCCCAGCTAGGGAGGGAAAGTGAACTACAAAGGAGTTTGTAGCAGCTCCCCAATCCTGGGTCTGATTTTCCACCAGCCTAGTCCCCAGGGAAGTTTAAAGGTGCATCTACTCAATAAGGAGCTAAGTTACTTAGACTTGGAAATCAGGAGGCTCTCCCAATAAAGTTCAAAAGTTTAAAAAGAATAACGAAATGGCTGTTTATCTGGCAATGTTTAAAAGACTGAAAGATATCTCAGTCACACACACACACCCTTTATAAATTCAGATCACAGAATTCCATTTTCCAGGCTATACTCAGAGGTAGTGAATTGAAGTGCATTCTGGGAGGTACTGAGAATGAAACACATTACAGTGAAACCCCATTTATGCGATATAATTGGGACCAGGGTTAGATCAGATCACCAAAAATCAGGATAATCTGGAGAATGGGCTTCACCCCCAGATGGCAAGTCTCAGACTTGAAGAGCCCCGCCACCCACGGGGTTCAGGGCTTGAGCTGTCAGCCTCATTTCAGTTAATACGGAGAGCCGGATAATGTAGGCTCAGATAAACAGGATTCTACTGTATACGTCCCACTCAGACAGTGTCAATGTTTTGCCGTGTGTGGTAAGACAGATTTATAGGTTTGGGAAAATGCAGAAGCACCTCAGAACAGTCTAGGACAGTAAACACAGATACACTGATCACCTCAACACACTGGGCTCATTTGGTTTTTGGATTCAACCTCTGAATCTTCTGCTCTTGAAAACACAAGCCTCTGCATGATGTGCTAAAGCAGCAGTTTGACTGGCTCTCTCACGTACCAATAGAAGGCACTGTCATGTATATTAACCAGCTTAATGTATATACCAGTAGGGGTGATGACACACAAGCCAGGACATTATATTCCCAGCAGTAAGACAGCTGTTACTCAACCCCAATCTCCAAAGTGACAGTTTTTAAAAAAAAATGCTGTAATAGGATTTACCTTTTCCTCCATGACTGGCGATGACTGCAGTGACAAACATAGCAGCCAAAACAGAGTGGCAACCACACAAGAAGCGAGACAAGAAAACAACCATTAGAGAGCAAAAAGTCATGCAAGCACATGTATGTTTATGTGCTCACACAAATACATACCTGAGCAGTGATGGAGACACTTACAGCCTCATAAGCATGCAGCCATACAGCAGACCCATTACATGCATGCACTTATAATCAAACAATGTAGAAACACACACACTCTCTCCGTATGTCTCTTGTGCATACATGTACACACTATTCTGTGCTTATACCAACTTCAGTCATAGTGACAAGCAAACATACCAAGTGTATGTATGGGCTCACACAAATATGCCCCTATCTAGCATATCACACAAAATGCACCTATGACACTGCACACCGTATTCTTCACAGTGATATTATTATGATACGATTATGACATAATTATGATGTATGTTATGCAAGATAAGTCATGTGAGGTGTCTTTGGAAAAGTTAAGATTTGCTTAATAGGATTATCCTATTTGTATGCATGTAGCCTTTTTTGTATCTGAAGTTATGAATACTGACTAAGTATATGTATTTCAAATGTAGTTACACCTGGGTAATGCCAACTAGACAAGATGCTTTCAGTCTAGATAGTGGGTGGGGAAGGACCTACTCAGGGCAATGGACCATTAGGAAAAAATAATAGGCCTTAGGAGAAGCTTATCTCCCACCTGGTGAGCCTTCCTGAGAACGCTACAGACAGGCTCCAAGTAATGGCTGCTAGGACTCTACAAGGACATGTGACCAGGCCACATGTCTCTGGACTCCATCTTGGGATGTCAGTATTTTTCCACAGGCTGGACTGGGAACCGAGCTTTGGGAACAAAGGTTTCCCACCATATGCAAAAGCTATATAAGGCAGGGAGTGACATCATCTGGGGTTCTTCACTCCCCACACAAGAAGGCTCCTGGAAACACCTGATGAACAAAGACTGAACTGGGGGAAGTGCTGGACCCAGGCTAGAGGGATTTCTAGCCTGTGAATGAAACAGCTGAGGATTCCAAGCTGTAAAGCAAGTGCAGTTTGCCCCTTAAGAATCTGCAGCCTGCTTGTATAATCTCTTAGGGTGAGAATTTGCTGTTCATATCCAATCTATTTAGTATATTAAGTTTAGTTTGCGGTTATGTTTATTTGCAAGGTAATCTGCTTTGATCTGTTTGCTATCACTTAAAATCTATCTTTTGTAGTAAATGAACTTGTTTTTGCTTTATCTGAACTAGTGAGTTGGAGTGAAGTGTATGGGAATCATAACTCAGGGCAAAGGCTGTTGCATATTCCTCTCCACATTGAGGGAGAGGGCGAATTTTATGAGCTTACGCTGTACAGTTCCCTGTGTAGCACAAGATGGTATAATTCTGGCTTTATACTACAAAGGGGATCATAGAATCATAGAATATCAGGGTTGGAAGGGACCTCAGGAGGTCATCTAGTCCAACCCCCTGCTCAAAGCAGGACCAATCCCCAATTAAATCATCCCAGCCAGGGCTTTGTCAAGCCTGACCTTAAAAACTTCTAAGGAAGGAGATTCTACCACCGCCCTAGGTAACGCATTCCAGTGTTTCACCACCCTCCTAGTGAAAAAGTTTTTCCTAATATCTAACCTAAACCTCGCCCACTGCAACTTGAGACCATTACTCCTTGTCCTGTCCTCTTCTACCACTGAGAATAGTCTAGAACCATCCTCTCTGGAACCACCTCTTAGGTAGTTGAAAGCAGCTATCAAATCCCCCCTCATTCTTCTCTTCTGCAGACTAAACAATCCCAGTTCCCTCAGCCTCTCCTCATAAGTCATGTGTTCCAGACCCCTAATCATTTTTGTTGCCCTTCGCTGGACTCTCTCCAATTTATCCACATCCTTCTTGTAGTGTGGGGCCCAAAATTGGACACAGTACTCCAGATGAGGCCTCACCAATGTCGAATAGAGGGGGACGATCACGTCCTTCGATCTGCTCACTATGCCCCTACTTATACATCCCAAAATGCCATTGGCCTTCTTGGCAACAAGGGCACACTGTTGACTCATATCCAGCTTCTCGTCCACTGTAACCCCTAGGTCCTTTTCCGCAGAACTGCTGCCTAGCCGTTCGGTCCCTAGTCTGTAGCTGTCCATTGGGTTCTTCTGTCCTAAGTGCAGGACCCTGCACTTATCCTTACTGAACCTCATCAGATTTCTTTTGGCCCAATCCTCCAATTTGTCTAGGTCCCTCTGTATCCTATCCCTGCCCTCCAGTGTATCTACCACTCCTCCCAGTTTAGTATCATCCGCAAATTTGATGAGAGTGCAATCTACACCATCCTCCAGATCATTTATGAAGATATTGAACAAAACCGGCCCCAGGACCGACCCCTGGGGCACTCCACTTGACACCGGCTGCCAACTAGACATGGAGCCATTGATCACTACCCGTTGAGCCCGACAATCTAGCCAACTTTCTACCCACCTTATAGTGCATTCATCCAGCCCATACTTCTTTAACTTGCTGACAAGAATACTGTGGGAGACCGTGTCAAAAGCTTTGCTAAAGTCAAGAAACAATACATCCACTGCTTTTCCTTCATCCACAGAACCAGTAATCTCATCATAGAAGGTGATTAGATTAGTCATGCATGACCTTCCCTTGGTGAATCCATGCTGACTGTTCCTGATCACTTTCCTCTCATGTAAGTGCTTCAGGATTGATTCTTTGAGGACCTGCTCCATGATTTTTCCGGGGACTGAGGTGAGGCTGACTGACCTGTAGTTCCCAGGATCCTCCTTCTTCCCTTTTTTAAAGATTGGCACTACATTAGCTTTTTTCCAATCATCTGGGACTTCCCCCGTTCGCCACGAGTTTTCAAAGATAATGGCCAATGGCTCTGCAATCACAGCTGCCAATTCCTTTAGCACTCTCGGATGCAACTCGTCCAGCCCCATGGACTTGTGCACGTCCAGCTTTTCTAAATAGTCCCTAACCACCTCTTTCTCCACAGAGGGCTGGCCATCTATTCCCCATGTTGTGATGACCAGCACAGCAGTCTGGGAGCTGATGTGCACCTGGGGAGTTGGGAGTTGCCTTAACTTACTCCTGGGAAAGTATGCACAACTGCACATGCGCAGAATTCATGTCCCCTGCAGATTTTTTTGCTTCCTTGCACAAAAATGACTTTCTGACAAGGAAGCAAAGGGAAGCTGCAAGAGCAGTCATGCACCACTCCCTAGCTGCGCAGGTGCATTATTTCAGGCAGCCGGCAGAGAGGTAAATCACTTCAGTGCTGGGGACACCCCAGCAAGTGACTCCTACCCTGAGTTAGGATCAGCTGCTAATCCCAGCTGGGCTGGAGGCAGGAGACGACGGGACTTCCTCTTCCCCTGCAAGAAGTATCTGGGGTTGTGTCAAACCCAGGTCCAGAAACCTCCCCCAGCTGCAGAAAGCTCAGCATCCTCCCCTGCTTCCTGCCCCCATTGCTCCTCATCTGTGGGGCGAGGTGTCACCATATGGGGAACTGCTCCCCCATCCGCCCAACCCCCGTACATCTGGCTCTCCTATACCCAGACACCCCTGTCAAGCCTCACCCCATACACCCAGAAACCCCCTAGCCCTCCATACCCAAACCCCACTGCACTGAACCTCAACCCCTGCATCTGGAGCTCCCTGCAGCCAGACTCCTTCCCTCTGGACTCCCACCCCTGCACCCAGACTACCCCCCACTGAGCTTCCTGCACTCAAACCCCCACGCTGATGTGCCCCACCCTAAGCCCCCACATCCAGACCTCCATGCCACTGACTCCAACTAGCTGCTTCCAGACCCCCACCCTACCAAGCCCCACTCCCCCTGCACCCAGGCCCCCCTGCTGAGACCTGCACACCCATAATGCTGAGCCCCAACCACCTTCACCTGGAAGCCCCTGCAGAATCCCACTGCAAACCCGGAACACCCCCCTCCCCCATGAGCCTCTGCGCATCCACATCCCCCCACACCTAGACTCCCCCACTGAGCTGCCTGCACCCAGATTGCCCCACACAGAATCCTCTCACTCCACACCTGGATCCCCCCCATACTGAGCCCCTCTACATTTGGATTCTTGCCTGGTTGAGCCTGCCTGCCCCACACAGTGCCTAGTGCAGAGGGGCAGGGCCCGCAATGTTTCTGGAGCAGGCCCAGGCCTTGTGCTGTGTCAGGGTCAGGTGCAGCCTCACTGCTGAGTCCATGTCCTGGGGGCGAGGGGCTGCAGGGTGATCTCCCACCTTTGAGCAGCCAGTGGCCTGTGTTCCCTATTGCCATGCTGGAGCCTCCATATTTATTGACAAATAAAACCTGCAGAATTTTAAAATATTGTGCACAGAATTTTTAATTTTTTGTCACAGAATGCCCTAAGGAGTATTAACTGTAGCCTATCTATGCAGGGGCTGGTCAGAGAGCCTGCATGTAACTGCAGCTGGGTGTGTCCCTACCTATATGTGTGCTGGTGAAAGTGTAGGCTGGAGAGCTTTGCAGCTTGTCACAGCAGTACAGTGTGAAAGGGAGCCCAGAGTGGCAAGTCAGGGGGCTCCAGTGGTACCCCAGTTCCAGGTGGGACCCCTGGGGGAAGCCTGTCACAGCACCCACCCACCAAAGCACACAGATGAGCTCATACAAACACCCATGAATGCAGTGAGAGATGTACACTTATGGGTCCCACAAATACACACCACTGCAGCAAAGCACACAAAATATATGTGCTCATTTATACTCATCCGACGCAGAACACACCCAACATAAATACATATGCTCACATGAATGTGTACTCTAGTGCCCCCCACACAAGGGCACAATGCAAAGCTTGGAATGAAGAAAAAAGGCCTCTTTCAATTAATGGTTTGTACAAACTCAGAAGGAGCCACGGGTCACAGACACATGATGTATGGTTCTCCTATTTTCTCCTCCCAAGAGGCTGGCAACACACCAGCACTCAGAGGCACTCAGATTGCTACTTGTGCAGTA